CCAATCCTATTCTGTTCCACAATGCAAGAAGACCTTGCTCTAAAGGGCAGCAGTGAGACGTTCAGTTGAAATGGCCATCATTTGTGGGTCAACTCATGGTAACTACCTCATTTCAAATCCATATTTGTCTACAGCTGCTGAATAAAAAATATATTGAGCACAAACAGCTTTAAATCCTTTTTAGAAATAAGGAAAAAGATGAAAGAAAGAAATTGGCCTGACTGACATATCCCCATAAAGGCAAAATTTGAAACTCAAGTCAAAGTACTCCAGTCCCAAGTGTTAATGAATATGAAGTCTCCAACCTGTTAAAGGCATTGTGAACAGGTGATGCCCTCAATCAGAAGACACATGCAGCAAGAGCAGTTATAAAACCAACTGGTGAGGAAATTTTCAATGTTTCTAGATCATTTGTAAAGAATAAAGGGAATACTATTATTATCCTTTTTAAAGATAACACACAACATAACACAAAAAAAAATTTTAAGTAGCTATGCATCTCAGGCCTCTCCTCCTGAGATGGTCTACAAGTATACAAGCCCTGAAGACTATTCTACAGCCTCAGCAGTTTTTTGTTTTTGTGTTTTGTTTTTTTAACTTAAGAAGGATACCACCAGTTTTTAAATGTCCTACCACTCTAAGTCTCCAGGGGCATGGGAAGGTCCCATACTTTTTTTAATTCCTGAAATCACTTACTGAAGAAGGAAGCAGAAGGAAAAATCCTCCCCCTATGATTGCCAGGAAGTTTCATTCTTTTTAATTTTATTTAGGTACCACTCTGTGAGAAAAGACAACAAATGAAAACCAGGATTGAGGCCATTCGTCATAAATACCACTCCCCTGAAACCCTCATTTGCCATAAACTGTCGGTCATAGACATAGAACATTACACAATCAATGCTCATTTTCTAGAGATTAGATGTTCCGGAAGTACCACTCAGAGTGTTTTCACTCAAGCTGGAGAGTCTTTAAATACATGTAGAAGCAAGTCAGTACTGCCCTTACCCACGAGAAGGACAGACCCCACTCTAGAATGCTGCCGATCACCCTGCCCTCTCTTTTGTCATCATTTCGACAAAAGGCCCGAGAAGACCACATGGGGTTGAAGTTGAAGGAAGGAGTGAAAATATTTTCAAAGAAGGAAATCTTGAGGATATTCAAAAGCTTTTGGGGGAGGGGGACAGGAAGGTTCCTAAACTGAAAGGCTCACAAAGGCAGTCAGAAGGAGGAGGCAGACAGACTTTGGAGCCAGTGGTGATGGTAAGAGGCAAAAATGTCTATGGCGGCTGGAGACTGCAAGACTAAAGGAACTCACTAGGAGCCTGAAAATGGGAAAACTAAGGCACCCAGTGAGAAGAGGGAAGGAGCTCAGTAGGACGATTTGTCCAGGAAACAGACAAAGCAAATATGGAGCAGCTGCATTTTATGCCAGAAGCCCACAAATAGATGACAGTGTGTATGAGTCAACTAATTTTCTTATATTAGTCAATGGCAGGTGAGGGGTAGGTGGAATGCATACATCTACTGCAAACATTACAGCATATTTTTTATCTTGTGCATTTATCCTTGATATTTTGAAGATAATTATAAATATCTTCTAACTTATGGCCCTGTAAATCACGGTGCCTGTTGGGCCTTCTTCAGAAAATTTTATCACATTTAACTTTTCATTGAAAAATTACTGATTTTCAGGTATGTTTTCACTCAGTGAACCCTCAATTAATGAACCTTTGGATGGCATAACTATTGAATGAGAAAAATACCTAAAATGTATTAACAGTAAATTAAACTTAGTCACTGAAATGGCTTGTAGAAGTTCCAGTGCATAAGAGCAATGTAGCTTACAGGTTATTGGCAAAGGCTGCTGGATCTTCCTGCTTGCTAATAATTCACTCAGCTGACCAGATTTATGATTATGCAATCTTAAAACTAGTTTTCTTGATTTGGGGAAGTCGTAGCATTTCAAACTTTTTATATAAGGTGAGGCTTTATGACTACTTTTATATCACATTATCTCATTTGTATAATTCATATTTGCATAGAATGAAAACCATATTCATTAGCATGTCTTCACATTTACTTCTTAGTAGGGACTTTATATGGAAAATCTACCCTTTGCCTTCGCCTTCCCTCCTTTCTCTGTCAAAAATCCTACGCATCTCTTCCTTTCTCTCCCTAGATAATCTCATTCAGTCTCATGGTTTTAAATATCATCTATATGCCAATGACTCTGAGAGATACCATTTCCAGCCCCAGTCAACTCTACATCTCTATGGGAATATCGAATGGGCATCTCAAACCTAAGATGGCCCAGCAGAACCCTTAGCGTCTTTCTTTGCTCCTTATCTCAGTGAACAGCAATGTCATTTGCCTAGCCAAAAACACTGGACTAATCCTTGACTCTTCTTCTTACTCACATCCTACATGCAACCCAGCAGGCTCTACCTTCAAAATGTGTCCTGAGCCTGACCACTTCTTCATATCAGTCAATGCTCACTACTCTAATCCAAGCCACACCCTAATCTCCTGCCTGGACCACTGAAAGGACCTCCTATAGGTTATACAGATTCTTCTCTTGCCCCTAGAATCTATTCTGCACACAGGATCCAGAGGAAAAATGTTAAAGCACAAAGAAGATTACATGGACTATGAAATCCAATCACTCTCAGAGTAAAAATCAAACTTACCATGGCCTACAGGGTCTGGCTCCCACTTACCACTCTTATTTCATATCACTCATCCTCCCTATAAACACCCCCAGCCCAGGTCCAGCTAAACTGGCTGCCTTCCTGTTCCTCTACCATGCCAAGCTTATCCTGCGTCAAAGGCCTTTCTTTTCACTTGCTGTTCCCTCTTCTTGAACACTCCTCCCCAATTCCTTGACACCAGTGAAGTCTCTGCACAAAATCAATCTCCTTCTTTTTCTCTCTCACACGCATAGAAGCCTTTTTAGACCATTCTTTTGAAAAGAGCCCCGCCAGCCCCTCACCTTGTTTTACTGTTTTCATAGCACTCATTACTATCTGAAATTATATTGTCTATTTAGTTGTTTGTTTGCTTTCTAAGTATTGCTCACAATACTTAGTGAGCACCCATCAGGTGTGAGGTGCTCTTCTAAGAGCTGAGGATACAACAGTGAACAAGACAAGACAAGCAAAAATCTCTGCCCTCATGGAGTGCACACTCTTATTTATCATTCCCACTCAAACCAAAGGTCCAGAGAGGCACAGACACAGTCTGCCTTATGACCACTGAAGCACCAACCCAGGGCCCAGGGCAGTGCCTTGGCACAGAGCAGGCATTGATACTTATTTGCTGAATGGGTAAGTGTCCTGCTACCTGATGCCATCTGATTCCCTGAGGACTTCCACTATAGAGTTTTTTCTGCCTAGATGGGTTTCAGGTTCTGGGACTCAGAATGTCCATCGTGTCCCCTTGGACAGGGCAGTCTGGACAGCCAGGCTCCTGTGGCTGAGCTGGTTCCCTAATCCTGGGCCTGCTTATCCTAACTGACTGCCCTTCCTTCCTGTCCCAACCCCCAGCACCTTGCAAGTTCACCAGGTAGCCATCCCACTGGGATCTATCTCAGTGGGTCATGAGAGCACCTGATCCACATCATTGGCACTGACCAGGGAGTCAGTGTTAAACAGGCCAGCTTTTCTCTACAAAGGCTAGCTGAAATAAAGATGTGTGGGTTGTTCGGCATCCCTAGCTCATGGTGGTCCTGTCCCTCGATATCTCACCTAAGACCTCAACATCAACTAGCTAGCATACCTGCAGGTACTCTCACTTCAGCACTGGAACACACTATTATTAAGGACATATTTTTGCCTCTTTCAACTGTCATAGAGGCAAGACGTGTACCTGCTGTGATGAGTAATTAAGTTTCTTTCAAAAAAGGAAGAACATTTGTTAACTGTGAAATTCTCTGATCTCAAATAAAAATAAAGGTAATTGTGAAATGTCATTAATTCATCTTTCAAGAAAATGGCAGCTATACTGGTAGGAAGGAAAAAAAAGAGAAAGAATGCAAATCTCTTAACCACTCTGGAAGTCTCAGAAAATAAGTGTTTAAAACCCACTGTTGGCTGAGTGCAGTAGCTCACACCTGTAATCTCAGTACTTTGGGAGGCCAAGGCGGGCGGATCACAGGTCAGCAGATGTAGACCATCCTGGCCAACATCGTGAAACCCCATCTCTACTAAAAATACAAAAATTAGTGGGTATGGTGGCGTGTGCCTGTAATCCCAGCTACTCAGGAGGCTAAGACATGAGAATTGCTTGAACCCAAGAGGTGGAGGTTGCAGTGAGTCAAGATCGTGCCATTGTACTCCAGCCTGGCAACACAGTGAGACTCCATCTCAAAAAAAAAAAAAACCATTGTTTCCAACATATCGGTTTTCACACCTTCATGTATCTGTTGGCTCAGAAGTGCCCAGCTTGAATACCACTATGAGACTAGCAGATGAAGATGTCTATGAACATTACAAAAGCCAAGGCAGGAAGCCCCAATCTGGTAGTCAGTTGAATTGGGCTGGGTATGGCAGCTACACTGTAACACTTATACCTGGAACTCCAACTTGAAAAGTATGTTAACAAAGTTAATAAATGTAGGGAGTAGGGGGAGAATTGCCTTGCTCTGCAACTCTGAGCCAAATAGTATTACCTTATGTTTGCCCGACTTTACTCTCCCTGGGCAAACATAAGCATTCTTACATATATAATTTCTTGCACACATTATCTCTTTTAGTCTGCAAAGCAAACATATCCTGTAAACAGCAGGATATGTTTCTCTGTCTGGGGCCTGGGAGGTCAAAGAATTCACCTATAATCCCACAGTAAAAATGGCAGAACCAAGTAAGTACCAAGACCCAGATATGCCTAGGCCTAGCCCAGTATCCTTCCTTCTATAATAGAAAGAACAGCATGGTTCTCTGCAAATCACATTCTACAGAGTTTTTCCCTCCACTGAGAAGAAGGAAAAAAACACATATATTCACCAGTGGTTTAAGGTGGTGGGAAGATGCATTGGTCCAGGAGCTCTGGGCAGAAAGGTTTCACGAACTCTTCCAAAGGATGCCAACTCCTGCAGTGACAAATGTACAAAACACCTGGTGTGAATAACAGGCACCCTGAGGCCTCTCCCCAAGGGGACTCACTTAAACATCAATTGCCAGGCAATTTAGGCTTAAGTCCCTATCTCTTTTAGCCCAACTCCCTTCCCCGCTCTGACTTCCCAAAGTAGAAGAAGAATCTTTAATTCACCAGCTGAAATGGTCCCCATCAGAATTATAGAATCTTGGGCAGAAGGCAGCTTTAGAGTTCATCTTTAATAGAGATCACAAACTGAAAACACAGTGGGTGACATCCAGCCTGCGGAAGTGTTACATTTCATCTACGGATATGTTTAGAAAATCTGAACCAAACATAAAAATCAAAGCTATCACACAAAAACTGACTTCTGGCTTCTCTTTAAAAAAAAAAAAAAACAGACCTGTCAACATGGCCCACATTTAGTCTGACAATAATCCGGCAGTGCTAAGCATTAACAGCAGTTGCCCTTAATAGGGAGGCTTGGCTGCTCCAATATACCACAGTCCCCACCACTCCCTATTGTCTCCTCAACACAGAGAAGAACTGGGGTTATCATTAGTCATCGCCCTTGCATTATTGTTTTTCTTGTGGTACAGAAATATATTCTTCTACTTATAATTCTAACAAAAGTGGGAAAACAAAAGGGTCCTAGTTCCAAGAAAAAAAATATGGTAGAGCACATATAATAACTCAAGTTGGTAGCCTCACTCCTGTAGGAGTAGACAATTGCAACCCCCAAACAAGTACAACACACCCATTTTACACGAGTTGAATGTAAGCAGGAAACTGACTTGCCTGCTCCCATAGTTAGATGCAGAGCTCAACCTACTTCTCTCGATGATATAATCCAGGACTCCTTCACTATGCTAGACTACATACTAGTCTTATACTATTAAGCAAAAAAATTAATACAATAAACAACACACACACAATTAACTAATTAAAATTAATTATCAGAAATAATACTCAGCTTCCAAAGAAGTATTAAAGTCAAGGAAATACAGTTGAAACACTGCACTTTCCACTAAAATGCTTGCCATGCATCAAAAATGCTCAGTGTCCCAAACTATCTGGAATGCTCTTTATGCTAGAAAAATCTCCCTTAACATGTATCGTGAATACAAGACTGTAAATAAGTTTATGTACAAGGTAATAGCACTGTAATAAATAAGCAGTGTTTGACAACAAGATCTTGATAGGAGTTATTTATATCACTCCCCCAAAGAATTTATGGATTCATTCACTTAACAAATATTTATTGAGCCCTGTTACATACCAGGAAGTATGCTACGTGATGGAGGTACAAAAGTGAACAAGACCCTCAAGTTGCTCTGTCTGAATAAAAGATAGATCCAGACACTCAAAATGAATGATAAAATAATGGGTAAGTGTAGTGATCCGCAGTCAAATGCTCTTCTCCTGAGCTATAGCCTCTACGGTAAGTGTAGTGATCCCACTATGCACCTGTGTTATGGGAGCACTGAGCAGGGGCACCTGATGCAGTAGAGGTGAAGAGATACTTCCTAGCACAGCCAGAGGCCTCAGGAAATCCTAAAGCTTGGATGGGAGTGGACCAGGCATAGTGAGGAATGGAGGACAACGGAGGCAAAAGCAAGGAGGGGAGAACAGCCCCCTCCAATTTGGTCTTGTTGAGATCTCTTATTAGCTCTGGGTCTTAAAAACCCCTGCCTGATGCCAAATGACCCAACATCTGCTGGGACTTGATCCACAGCCTTACATATGCACTTACAGAAGTTTATCTTGATAAGTGCCCATATCAAAAATGTTACTGATTCAGCCCTGCTCCCTGGCAATGCCTACCTATGACTCCCTGGAGTCTGCTGTCCCACAGTCTACAGGGCCTAAGAAACATGGTGGTAGAAATACTAAGCCTTTCAGCCAGGTACGGTGGCTCACATCTGTAATCCCAGCACTTTGGTAGGCCCGGGCGGGCAGATCACAAAACCAGGAGATCGAGACCATCCTGGCTAACATGGTGAAACCCCATCTCTACTAAAAAGACAAAAATTAGCCGGGTATGGTAGCACACACCTGTAGTCCCAGCTATGCCAGAGGCTGAGACAGAAGAATTGCTTGAACCTGGGAGGCAGAGGTTGCAGTAAGCTGAGCTCGTGCCACTGCACTCCAGCCTGGGCGACAGAGCAAGACTCTGTCTCAAAAAAAAAAAAAAAGAAAAAAAGAAAGAAAAGAAATACTAAGCCTTTCATGATGTACAGAAGAGAGTAAATAAAGATGTTTTTCTTATACCAGTCACAAGGCTGCCCTGTCTATCTCCACCTCAGGGCCTGGATTTCCACAGCAAGAAGCTACTATGCATTTGAGCCTCAAGCAGGAAGCTTTGTGAAAAAAAATGTTCCAGAATATCAGCCCATCAAAATCCCCACATGGAGCTATTCTTTTCTTCATAGATAAGAAAGAAGTGAGCCGCCAGCCCTGATCTAGGCTGAGGCAAAGCCAGGGAAAAATACTCCAAAACACAGGCTGGAAAGAGGCACGCAGAGGAGGAAAGACCAAACACGTGGTCAAGGCTAGGGTTCCGGTTCAAGGCCTGTATGAGGAAACAAGCAGGCAGCATTCACCTGAAGAATCGAAAGAGCTTCCTTGGACCAGTAACTGATGGTCAGTTTCCTAAGTATGGCTGAAAATTACAATCACCTACAGAATTAATCCCCTATGTCCCAGAGTCATTAAATCAGGATCTTTGGTTTGGAGGTCCAAGCACTGTCCAGAACCTCTCCACGGGTGATTCTGATGTCCAATACAAAAAGGGTATATTTCACCCAGAGGTCTCAGAAGCTCCACAACAACCTCTTAAAGGACACGAATTCATCATCCTCCAGGAAGGAGCCAAGGATCCAGACTTTAGGGGAGTAGCACATTTTCGTATGTTTACCCACTCTCTGCATCTCACTATGACAACCATCACAACTTCCTTTAAATAAATGTCAAAAAAAAAAAAATGCCAGCAGCCAGAATAGCAAATGGGTAAACGAAGGGGCCTTCTCTTTCCCCGTATTTCTTGTATAGCATGATCCAATGTCAATGCCTCCAGGTAAACGATTGGGGGTATCCAATCTCAGCAGTGGATTTGAGCCTTCATACACCTGTGTGAGTTCGCTGCTCTGGCAGAACAAAGGCTGTGGGAGCATCCAGTCATCCAGGTGGCCTTCGAGGAACAGCTCCAAGGCACAGAGCACTCTGATCAGGTCATTCCTGCCCACGAAAGGGCAGGACTCTACCGATCAGTGCAGTGTCTGGAAACCTGCCACGCCTGGCTGAGCACTTCTCTTTCCAGATTTCCACTTTGTGGTCATGTAACGACCTGAGCTATCTCAAGCCAAGACTGGCAAAGTAAATGCCATGCACCACAAAGATGATGGAGAGATTGGAGTAAACTGGCTCCCAGAATGCACCAGCCTATGAAAATCTCTTCCCTGACATTACAAGGTATCACTAGGTGACCGTCAGGCAGCCAGCACCAGAAAAACCCACGGCTGACCAAGGTCAGCCTTCCTGATTGCCAAGGCCCAGCAGCAATCCACACTATCCTTCCAAGGAACAAGGAGACAGGCAGGTGTCCCCATCAACCTAAGGATCCTCCGTGTGAACCGTAATGCAAACTTGGCAGAGCATGGTAGAGGAGGAAGTTTAGGAAAAGCTCAAGATCATTATTTGCCCCCTCCTGGTGGTCCTCAAGTTTCAAAAGCTTCACTAATTTTCCTTGCAGTACTGTTATATCCTGGCCTAAAACAAGGCATTTCTCTGACACAACCCACCAAAAGACCTCACAAGAGTTGTCCCACGCCCTGCCAAAGACCACAATCCATCATCTCCCTTATTCCTCCCCCATCCCAGGAATACAGATTGATACCAGCCATTGTGACAGTCGCCTCTGCCACCCTCATTCCTACCAAACATCAATCCAGACTACCCGACCCACTCTGGACCACTCTGGCCTCTCCTGTTACATGTTCTTATAGCCCCATGTATCTCTCCTTCCTACCATGAATCACTTACATTTTCACATTGTTGTCCCACTAACCTACATATGGATAGGGATCCAATTAATCATTTCTGTTTTACCTTGTTACTGCTGTCATTTTACAATTTTAAGGGGTCTTTGTTTGACTAGCTCAAACTAGTACCTAATATAGTATCCTAATAGTATCCTCAAACTAGTATCCAAATATAGTACCTTTGAGCCCTCTGGTTTCCTTCAAAATATACCCCAAATTTCATGTCACTCAGCTCAGACTTGGTCCCTCTCTCCTTGCTCTGGATCCAAGGCCCAAGCCGCTTTCTGAGCTCATGGCATACTCTCTTCTTCTTTTCCCTCCACAAATTCCAACCCCTCCATCAACAAACCCAGGCAGTCAAGGGGAGCAAATACCCAACTGGCCTTGAGGCTGACCACCTTGGGAAAGAAACAAATCGGAAGTTATCCATTTCATGTTTGGGCAGTGGTTTTTTTTTTTTTTAAATCACTCTGCATTATTTTATTTAAGATAATGTCCTAATATGCAAAATGAATCCCTTTTTTGACCTTGAAAAGAACTTCTCTCTTTTCCCTAACAAAACCGACTGGGGCCATAACCAGTGCCAACATTTCCAGGACCTGAACCCCACTGAAGCTTCCTGGGTGCTCAGTGCTGAGGTGGCTCCCACTTCCCAAACACCTTTTGGCTCTGTTCCGATTGCCCAGCTGTCCTCCTCCTGCATCAATTGGCAAAGAAAGATGGGTCCTTGACAGCTTTTTAAAGCTCTTCCACCTACTCCGCTGATTCAGCAGGAGGGAGAATGAATGTTTCCAAGTTCTCTGAATGACACAAAGCTCATGAAGTACAACAAAATTAGTTTAAAATCGCAAAATGAGTTTAGCTCCCCCTTTAAAAAAAAAAAGGAAAGCATGCCTACTTTCAATGACTCACAATGACTTCACAATTTTTCCTCCACTAGGATATGTATTCTTCC